AGCTTCCCACTGTGAATCACCCGGCATGTGACGTCTTCATACAGCTGTTGAATAGGGTTGATAAGGGTTTGTGGAATTCCGTAGTTTTGAAGCAACTGCCTGCAAAATTACTTCTCGACCGACTCCATCAAAAGCCTTTTCATAGTCGACCTGTTCTATCATGCAGCGTAGCGCAGCATTGCGATTCGGTCCGCGCATGGTTTGTTCTTCCTGAAGCTACCCAGCCTGTTCCAGTGGTAATTCTGAGTCCAGCGCATACTTTAGTCAATCCAGGGGGATGCAGCTTGGTATTTTGCCCGGGGTGAGCAGCAGCACGATCCTACGCCAGTTCTTGCAAAGACTTAGGTGGTCCTTTTGTGGGAATTCGACAAGGTAGCCCTTCTTCCAATCTTCGGGTACCTTTCCTTCCTTCCTTCCTTCCAAACCTTCTACAGTGGTGGTGTGAGCGTGTCCGCTGTCGCCTCTGGTCCTGCTGCTTTCCTGGATTTCGTTGACTTACGGAGTTACGTACTTCCCTTCCACTCTTGTCGGAGGGCTTGCGTTCACTGGTAGTTCTGTGGTGATATTTCTGGACGAGGTGCGGGTGATGTTCGACGCAAGGTTTTTGAAGTGGTTGGCTCATAGTTTCCTTTGTTTCTCCTCTTTGGTGACTGCGTTTGCTTCACTGTCTTTCACTGGTTTCGTCTGCGTCGATCTCCTCTCAGATAGTAACCTGGTTATTTGACATAGTTTTATCAGGTTTGTCCTACCTGGAGCCTGCCCTGCTTCACTTGCCAATGTGTTGTAGAAGTGTCCTTTGTCTTTGCGCGCACTCCTTTTCATTTTCTTGTTTACTGCCCCATACGTTGTACTCAGTTCAGCTTTCCTTTGTTCATCTTTTCCCTGCACTCGTTCATCTTCTGCTTCACCATTTTCCTTTCTCTCCTCCATCAGCTTCCATGTGACCGTCGAGATCTATTCCTTGTCCTGCTTTTTCTTCCTTCTTAATACGGTTAAGCAGGTTCCCTTCCACGTATCCATACAGGTTTCTTCAAGAATGTTCCTCAATATCTTACATCTCGTCCTGATGACTGACTGACATGAAGATTTCCCTTGAAATTTCGTCCTTCAGTTTCTGTCCTGAGTGTCCAACTTTAACTGTGGTCCATCAGCAACTTATTTGAAGGCTTTCGACTTGATTATGAAGGTAGGTTCCTGCACTAGATATCCAGTGGTGTGAACCTACATCTGCTCCCCTTCTTGATCTTGTGTCCAGTAGGCTGTGTCTCATTGTCTTCGCCTTGTGAAGTCCATCTGATTTTTAGTCTGTTCATCCATGTCTCTGCCGTGTGAATATCCTTGTGTTGGTACACATTGCCTCGAATCACCATATAGTTGAATGCACGGAAGTCTGCAAACAGTTCTCCATTCTCATTCACCATTTCACCGAGTGCTTCTCGACCCATGATGAGTTCTCTTCCTGTGCGGTCCGCTTCCAGTTTACCATTAATGTCACCCCACCCATTAGAATTTTGATGTCGCCAGCTGGGTGGGGTGTTGTCCAGTACCGATTCCAGTTGTCTGTAGAATTCCTCACTCTACTCTTGATCAGCATTATTTGTAGGTGAGTGGTATTGGCATTGTGTCATTGTGACTTTCTTTCCTTTTGATTTGAATCTTGCTCTCATGATCCTGCAGGAGAAGGTTGGTTCCCACTGCATGATAGTAGGCCTTCGATGCTGTTGGGGACATCATGATAGCCACTCGAAAACCCAGTGTGCTCGTGGTTGTCGTTTGAGTGATAATACCAGGGTGGATTATTGGCTCCTCTCCAGTTGACAGTTTGTAGAGTGCACTTCCATTACATCTGCAGATTCCTTGCAGATTCCTGTCACTTCTATGCCATATCGTTCCATCTCACTTGCAATCTGGGCAGCTTTGATAGGTTCATACGTGGTGCGGACATTCCATGTTCCATGTTTACTTTTACTTTCATCGAGAGAAGATACATCGGCCAATTGGCTTCCCGAAGGCTTTCACTAACCAGCGTCATTTCGTCTCTACAACCACATACGGGAATAATTTTAATTTAGTTTTCAATATTTTCTTTGTGCTTTGAGTTTCGTTAGCGGTTAGATTGGTTTTACAGGGTAAGGTCGCTAGCCCTATGCCCAACCTCACCTCTTTATCCGGGCTTAGGACCCGCTAGTAACTAGTGAACTAGTTAACCAGAGGAGGTCACCTTAGCAATATAAAGTAATTATTTGTATGCACAATGCTGTCAACATAAATTATTCACAATCTGGCCTTCACCGTAAGTAATAGTCTGTCATGTGTAATTAAGAAGTTAGCAAGTAGCCGATAAGGGTAGACGGTTTTATCGTATAACGCAAAGTACTTCCTATCCCGGCGGGATCTAACGCCCCATCAGACCTGCCTGAAATATGAATAGCCACTAGGATAGTAATTATCAGTTGTTGTTTGATGACAGAATATTGATCCCCAAAGGCTTTTGATATTTAAATAGTCAGTAGTAACTCAAGTTCATTGGCTAATGTCATAATAACTGGTGAACTGAACATGAGTTTTCACAATAGCTGTGAGTAGCAGTGAGGAACTATAGTTAAATAAACAAGAAAACAGTTGCAATAGGTCAGACATTGACAACCATAAAGGGTAATATGGAAAGACAAAGGAAAAATGACGCTTATTGGATTTTCATCCTTGAGAAACTATTTGTCAGCAAGGTTTTCTATCAGCTAACCAGAACAATAAATGAAACACCGGAAACAGTGGAATGTTCTGCAGCCACCCGTCCACTGAGTAATATATATAGCACCAGCTGTAAAACTGGAGTTTCATTCTTAGTCCACCTGCAGAAACGTTTCAGGATCATTTTCCTACTAGAGTAGCCTGAAATCGATGGTTGTAATATCAACTACCACTACTCTTTCATCACTCTGACCTTCAGAATGGACAGAAACTCTCCTATAGTAGCCGTAAACGGATCACATCATTTGTAATGTTTGCTGGTTGCAGTACAGTAATATGGGTGTTCGAAGACACCACACACACTATACAGGAGTGAATCAAATAGCCTAATTTCGAAGAAGAGACGGAAATTATTTATGACGGCAACATACAATGCAGCTAAGATTATCTCAGTGTACAAGACAAAACCCATGCTTCAGCAAACAGCTACAGAGCATATGAACTAGTTTATCACATCCTAAACCATCAATTTACATGTTTTTTTGTATTGATACATGTAACGGGAGGAGTTATCACAGTATGTAGTTGAGAATGCTCCAATATGTGTCTAACTGTCTTCAGAACCAAGTAATTCCTGACAATTTGGTTAATTCAGGTAACGAAAGTAATTTCTTACCCATCACAGAGAACAAATTAGAAACCATTCACAGGATTGATAAGAAGGCAGCCTTTACTATATTGTATAAATGTGGTCAAGGATAAATACTGAGATTTATCAAATCACTTTAATCGAAACACAGTTTATGTTTTCAAAAGCAATTTTTACTGACACTAATCCTACTTTGGCAATATTCATTTCATCCCTTTCTACTGTTGGTGGTGTTGATCTGACTCTCTCGCCTGTTTATGTCCTGACCTTATTATCTTTCTAAGTTATAACACCATTGGCTGAATTAACCTTTCTAAGTTTCTACATGACCTATCGGGAAAGTTCATGAGTGATTAGACTCATCAAAATATGTACAACTAGTGGATCGCACCTATAAGACAACCTCCCTCTTCTCATTACTCTGTTTAAAACTATTCAGATGGACCATCTTTCACCGAGTATACCCTACCCACCAATCTATTTGCCACATAGAATTAGTCAGTTATGCCACCTGAACACTGTTCAAGATTAACTCATTAGAAATGAAAATTTTCTGAAAAATTTACATACAATAGTAAATTTTTGAGAGAAATAACTGTCCATTATCATACCAAGAACCAGAATTCTTTTAACTGACGCAAGACAATATATATCATGTATACAATTATTCCCTGGTATTACTTGGCATGTTTGTTCAGCATAATACTCCACGTGGTCGACAGTAGTGTTGAGTCACATTTTGCGTCAGTGCTGACATGTTTATATAGATTCTATCATTACCCTTCCTTTCTATTTGTTTTAGTTAAAAATCCGTACGGTAGTGTTGTTGCAGTCGATAGTAATTTTGTCATTCCTATGCATGGGATGCTAACGATGAACTTTAGTTTGAACTTTCACATTCTTATCCCTCTTCTGTGGGCTTACCATTAGTTGGTCTCTGATACTGATTCATTTTGGCTTTCGATGACTCTCATGTTTGTCCTGAATAGCCTACGGAACAGTTTACTCACGACATTATAAAGAGTAGATTATTCTTGTCTAATATTTTTAAACGGACTTTTGAGTTGATTTGGCTACACTGATAGACAATGGAGTGTCCTCATGTCACTGAGTCACAATTTCTCTAAGTTACATATTCTTCTAACTGAAATCAAGATTCAATATTCAATGAAAAGGTGTTTGTTGATTTCAGACAACCTGCACTTAATTGTCAACATAGCACTTATGTCTTACTTTACGGTTCAAATATTAGCTAATTGTCTATGAAACTTCTAATCAAATGCAAAGCCTTGCGTGTTTAATCACAAGTTATACTTTAAAGACTCAAAATTATTTTGAAACTAATAGAATAAAAGATTTTCTTCAAGGTAGGTGGGGACTGTAGTAATCTTTTCAGACAGGGTATTTCTTTTTGAAAATGAGTCTTACTAGAATTGTGTTTTCTGTAGTAAAGGCTTTGAAACTTTTAAAATTATTTCATTGAGAAGAAAGTTTCTAATCGAAGTTTTATTCTCATAAAAAATTCAAAAGTTACTTGAAACAAATGCTTATCACAGACATATCAATGCTTGACCTATTGACGATATGACCATGATCAAATTGTAGATATTGAATGATGCTGTGGTGAAAATAGTGATTTTCTGTCACACTGATATCCTGATTATCGGCAAACTGCTAGTCGGTGGTATACAGTAATAGAGGCTAATATGCTTGAACTTATCAGGTAATAGTTTCCAATCATTGATACACCTGAATAAATGAGTAAACAAATATATGATAAAAACAAAACTGATTCATGTAGATTCTCTGTCATAGACTACTTATGTAATTCACATAGTAGTTTACAAGGATAATGTGATTTCAAAGTAGAAATTTTAAATAACGTGTCTTTTCACATACAGAGTGGAATCAAATTTGTCTCAATAGGAATGAGAGAGTAAAACATAGTTTCAACTGATCTCAACCCACCTCAACATACCGACATAACCAATACACATCAAGACGATAACAACTATCAACACATGTATACATACAAATCTGAATCTGTAATTCATGCACTCTTCACACACAATACATTACCCCTGGATATAACCTTTATTCCACAATTCTGACAACGCGGAATCATTCATTCAGAAGAGTAGTCGTCAAGTTATCATATATAAGCTTAAGGGATATTATAAATACCAGTTTGCCATAACTTTGATAAGGTTATTAGCACTAAATAGCAAAACGTTAGTTGAAACAAATTTATTTTGTTTTACATTCTCATTGGGAAATACAAATGCCAAAATAATGAGAGTCTTCTTAAGTCTCAAGAAACTATTCAGTTGGTAATAATTGGCACTAATCTAGAAGAAGATATGCATGGATATTAATTTACTGACCATTGGTTTAAACTCTACTAAAAGACTATTGAATGTTCTGCTGAAAACGAAAATGAAGAAGCGAAATTCTTAGGATAATACGAGTTCAAATGTGTAATGAGACACATGTCTATGTCTATCAAATCTCATCGAATTGAATGTGAACAGAAATTATGATGCCATTTGGATGAGTCAATGGAAAGCTATGGCAGTTTTGTAAATTAAGTATTTTACCTACTTTATGATTTATTTATCCAGTTATCAATAAGCAAGTGGGGTTTCACTGCCACTCTTGACTTGAACTACATCATTTTAAACTTCAGTTTTTCACTGAATGTTAAAATGAAGCTAAATTTTACCATAAAATGTAATGAGACGATAGGGGAAGCTGGACCATCACTTTGATTGAAGCACTGGTCTTCTTCTCATCGGAGCAGCACTGTACCAAAAAAGCCATACAGTCGAACACCTAATTAGGTTCAAAGTCTTCTTGAATCACTGAGAGCTTATCGCTCACTGGCTGGATTTTATGTAGGAAGATAGGCAACTACACCAGCTCTTTTTTTAACTTTATACTTTGTTTGTATTACAAATGGGAATGTTTGAGAGAATGGGAGTTTTGCGGGGACTTTATTTCTTTGCACTTGGTATTTATCAAGGAGTGGCATCATTTTCAGAACCATTCAATATCTGGGAGCACTGGTATGCTTTTTCGGCCTGGTATCCGATGATGTCAGTTCACGATGAAAATCAACTGTAGATCCATCGAATCTACACAAAAGCACAAAGTGAATTGCTGTTCAGTACTCATTAGTGACTTGCCTGTGGGGCAGACTTAGTAGTAAGTGAAAACAAATCCTCAACGACGCCACTGGACGAAAGTTACCCATCATCAAGAACTTTGAAAAGTAGGGAAATATGAACCACTGGAACCAGTGGTAACCTACTCTCGGCGGAGCTTATAGATCTTAGGTTCCATGCCTGAAGTGTTCATGAGTGCGTACCCTTGAGGAGTCCTATAAAACTTTCAACTGCTTCAGTGGTTCTCCAACTGATGTTAGTTTATGATGAACACCAACTCTCAAAGAATAAGCCAGCATCAGACCAATATTTGGAGAAACATCACGTCTTTATAGTTAATATCAAATACTTCTTTAAAATCTCAAAGTGAGTTTCGCAAATCAACATGTTCAGAAAAGAGCAATTTTGAAATCACAATGAGAGTGTATGGACTAGTATGTCGACTTTCAGCGTACAACCTTCATCTGTGACGTTTTTACAACTGAATATCTAGATAACACAAACACATGATATTGCTCATGTCATGATGCAGTTATTTACAACGATGTAGTTGTTCTGTTTATATCTGAGGTCAAGTTTCATCCTATTACATGCATAGATCGACTGTAGACACGTAGTCATAGTTTCTACCCCAATACTGACAGTCTTGGGTATATATGCCTTGTGCGCGTAAATATTTTGATAAATGTTGGCACACGGCATTCAGCTTAATCCGCAAGTAACTTTTTCTCCTTCCAATGATGGTTCGTAGCTAACCCCTTACTCAAACATACATACATCTAGAAGTAGTATTCATCATGGACTGACATCAGTTGGGGAACCATTGAAAACCCGGGGGCACTGGACAGCCGTTTTGTCCTAGAATGGGACTTCTCAGCAGTACGCACCCACGACCAAAGTCACGACCTTCAGCTTTCACAGCACATGCGTTGACCATTGAACCACTAGGTTGGTTTCCAGTGGTTCACAATTTCCAACTTCTGTCAATCCACGACATAGCGCGATTATCAACCAAGGTCTTCAGTTAGCATCCACTTCACTTCCGACTGGTTGACCCCACAGGTCACGGCTTCTCATTACAGCTTCGTGATACCCATCTGGAAGCAAGTTAACGTGTTCGCCGTGAAACCTGAAGGTCCTGAGTTCGATCCCTAGCCGGGTCGTCGGTGCGTACTGATGAGGAGTCCCATACTAGGAGGAAACAGCTGTCCAGTGCTCCCAGAGTTTCAATGGTTCTCCAACTGATGTTACTCCACGATGAATACTACTTCTATATTGAAAAATCTACATTCATCTCAAAAATATAATACATACATCTAGACGAATGAGCTGTTATACTGGATTTGTGGTAATATTACTAATGAATAATATTGGAATACACATTACAATATTAAAAATTGGTTCACATACCGGAGGATCGACGGTAACCTAGTAAAAAGAAATATTAATCGTTAATTAAAACTTTATATTCAGATTATGATAATTTTCTTTCCTGATTAAACCTGGATCAGTGTAATTAAACTCTTGATTTATATTGCTACCATTGTTATCATCATCATCCTCCATTTGTATTTTAATTACCTAAATTACACTCACTTCGAACATCATCCCCAGTGATTTAACTCAGGACCTACAGGTATCGTGGCAAATAAGTTGAATATTCAGCTGTCAGTCTTGGAAGCGTAATGCTGAGAAGTCTTATACTAGGCTAAAACAGCTATTCAGTGTTCACAGGTTTTCAAGGATTCTCAGTTGATGTCAGTCCACGATGAATATTACCTTTAAATAAGTAAAATCGACATAAACTTCAAACTAAATTTTATTATCTAATTCATTTGAAGTGGTAATTCTTCTTTTTGTCTACCTTAACAATGATTGAGCGTTAAGATCATGTAAACTGTTACATGATTTCGCTAAAATTCTTACTGACCTCTTTTATACTGGATGATAACTGAGTTTTAAACAAAATCTAGACTGTAGCAGGATTTGAACCAGCGATCACTGGGTTTCCCACTTGATGCTTAACCAACTGAGCGACGAAACCCATCTGGTGACTAGACTTTAGTTTCACCTCGGTCACCAAGGATCTTACCCGACTTCTATGTGAATTACTGGCGTGTAACTATCCATTCATCACATTCACACTGCCTGTGAAGTCAAGTCTTCTTACCCCAGATGATCATCAAATTGATTATGAGACTGACTATCTGAAATGGTTCTGATTTGGGAGATTCACGTTAATACTGGATGATGACAGAATGTGAATTAAAAATCACGATTGTAGCAGGATTCTAACTAGTGGTCTCCAGGTTACTCGTTAACACTGATCTATTTCAATTCATATACCAGAATCTCAAATTCTCTTATTCATAAAATTTTCAAATGTCTCTCTTGAAAAAATTGTTTTAGTGTACTTGTAAAATCTGATGAAAATTTGTATTTACTTAAATTGTGTTTTCCGATTATTCATAGCTGATTATCAAAAAAATTTGTGAAAAACATTGTGTAGTGTATGACTTTAAAGGCCGCTCTGGCAAGTATTGTAATAGCCAATCAGGTTTCGGTATCCTGGCCAGGAAGGTAATTTTTGATAGAATAGTGAAGCCAAATTGGTTTTCTCAGCAGTTGCTAGGGTGGCTTTTAAAATCTCTGAGATATCCGGGACAGAGGCTGAGTCATTTCTTTTGACTTTAAAGGTCACCCTAGCAACTGTCGAAATAACCAACCAAGTTTAAACATTCCACCTAGGAAACCAGTTTTTCACTAAAGAAAGTAAAGTAATTAATTATCTGAACAGATGCTAGGGTGACGTTTAAAGTCGCTCAAGTTAGTTTACTCAATATCATCCACATTTGTTCATTAAAGCGTATCTATTCCTTCCTTCATCACAAAAGTAATTCAACCATTGTTTAGATGTACACAACGTTGCCAATCGATACTTAAACGTGAAGGAAACCACTTTTAAGATTATGTTCATCCTAACTAAATAGAAAGTCTATATTAAAGGTAAATATAAAGATGTAGGTTAATAATTACTATTTATTGACAAACTTGCTATTCTCCGTTGTTTTGTCGGATCGAATTGTTCGAACTCTATTGGTATATGGGTTCCTATGTAGATGCAAAGTATTGGCTATCGTTCCTCCTTGGCTAGTGAATAACGCCTTCATATTTGAAGCGATGGTTACGAGGTTCGAGTCCCAGTGGGAACAACATGACTGGGGTGCAGGTACATTCAGCTGACGAGTTTAAATAGGACAAAACGCGCGTTCTGGATTCTTCTGCTAGCCACAACCAACCAATTTATCATTATTAATCATTCAGGCAATACCGAGATATCCGCATAGAAGCCCATATGCTAATAGAGGTCGAACAATTCGATCCGACAAAACAACGGTGAACAACAAGTATGTCAATAAATGGTAATAACTACTAGCCGTTGTACAAGAAGTGGCTACCGTTCCTCCGTGGCATATTGGGTGACGCCTTGGCGTTTTAAGCGATGGGCGTGAGTCCCGGCAGGAACAACATGACTGGGGTACAGGTACATTTAGCTGACGAGTCCCAAATAGGACGAAGATTAATAAGACAAAATATCAGTAGTACAGTAAGACCCTGGGTTAAAAGTTGAATTTACCAAGGGTAGTTTGATGTGATGATGACCAAATGTTTGCCAACATGCATGAGGGTGGCTTAAGCTTCAAATGTATTTACGCAGCACATTTCAAAGGATTTGATCACACACATTCTTGTCGATACAGTTTTCTCATTTGACCCAGATCCCCATAACATTTTACACAAATGCCTATGAAAAGTACATGTGCGTGTGTGTGATTAGAATGTTAGAGTAGAAATTAATGCTCATCAGTTCAAATCTAGACATTATTATCTCCACTATGCATAAACTGACTAACTTGCTTTATTTCAACACCTTACCTTCAACTTGAAAAGATTACTTAATAAGGTTATAATATTTAGGTATAGTGTATTCTCTGAGCTGAATGATTGAGTCTTGATGCCTTCATTATCTTTCTAGACAATATTTATTATCGGTACCAACTTCAGTATGTAAAGTGATTGATCAGGATTTCTCTCTGAGTTATTCAGTTGTCTACTCTTCTGATGAAGTAGTGTATGACTAGTGCTTTTTTTCCCCTATTTGGCTGCACACTTCTTATTCATCTTTTCTTTGTCTGATGTCTAATCATGGAGGTGTTTCTCCTTTTACTTAGTTTTCGACTGTTAATTGATCTGAATCCTAACCAGTAATCAAAAGCTGCATAGACATACACCTAATATATTGATCAATGAGAAAAATGGTAAACAAATGGAAGTTCTAAGGTCAAGTAGAGTAACGGAAGATCAGAAAATCTGTGCAGATGATGGTACAACGATCAAACGAAACTACCAAACATATATCACTTGACTACATTAACTCATATAAGAAAAGAACAATTATTAGTTTATTTCTGTGACATCAATGAAATCAAATTTTACTGAAAATACATATATATATATATATATATATATATATATATATATATATATATATATATATATATATATATGGTTCAGTAGACTCAAATAAAAGGAAAATCATGTGATGGGGCAATTCAGCGGTGATGTTGTAACTGTGATATGAATTACTAGCCTATGAAGATTCATTCAAATAGCCTACAATGCAGGAGGCTAACAAATCATGTTCTCTAAATGTTCATCTTACTGCCTGTTGCATTGACCAATCTTACTTTCCTTAAGGAATCACATATATGTCAGTTTCTACATTGAGGATTTTAGTTTCTCTCCTCAACAACACTTCTTAATGTACACAAACGAATGTATAGTAAAGATAATTGATAGATTCATAACGGTTCTCTATGACCAGAGAGACTATAATGCAGACATGTATAGTTCAAATTTGTTAATTCACAGGATTCCTACACATATGTCACAGTCCATCAAACTTCAAATCCTTCAAACTGCAATTTGGCTCAGACAATATATGTTATATTATCAGCTGCAGCTAATGATAATATCTTTTTTGATATGGTTTAAGATTAACAAATTCCTTAGCATCATAGTATATAGAATTCTGCATATTTTACGTATCTTCCACTTCCCTGTATTAACTTATGTAACTTTTATTATATTTGCATCAGTTCTGTTCCTCAAATGATCTTCTTAAAGATTATTCAACATTCACAGACATGAAGTAATTTATACGGAGGACTATAAACCCTATATTCTTTATAATTTCATCTGAACTCCAGTTGTATCCATGAGAATTAATAGAAATTTCATAATCCTACTGAGTAGAAAACATTTTAAGCTATTAACTTTATAACTCATTCAAATATATTTTCTATAATAAACAATTAGATGTCTTTATTTCATGCAAAAACTATCTCCGCAGATGAAACAACTAGACAGTACTGGTAATTTCAGCTGTTTCTAGGATGTAAAATACATTTACGCATTCTTTGGTAGGAAGGAATAACTTATATGTTGATATAACCTATACTGAATAGACTTATCTACTCTATTAGTTCATTACAATCTAGTGTAATGCAAAATTCATTTGTCTCTTTTCTCAAGAGAATTCTCCAATTAACCAATATGAAATGCTTTCATTTACTGTAGACTTTTCATGTTATTTACAGACGATTATTCTTTCGGCTTGAAGATTTCTTAGAATTCATTGATTTTAGGATCAGCAATGGGAACTCGTAGCTAAGTTGGTAGATCATCAGGCTGGAAACACGATGGTCGCGGGTTCCATTACACCTTCAATCATCACCCAATACTAATACTAGTTTGCCAAACCATGACCATCTCACATAGTCAAAGTTGATAATGAATATAATGCTCCCTGTCTCTAATTCAGTTAAATTTAGATTGAGATGAAAATTCCTGACTAATTACCCAGTGTGAATACGATCAAGCGGTAGTAACACGTTACGATTTCACACGGTAATCGAGCGAAAACCTCCCAGTGATTGAAGTGAAATTAAAATTTGGTCAACGGTTGGACTTCGTAGGTCAGTTGGTGTAGCATTGGGTTGGAAACCCGCTGTTTGCTGGTCCGAATCCGGCAGCAATCCAAATTCTCATTTCACCTTCAATCATCAAGGTGATATTCATCACGAATTAAAATCAGTTGGAGAACCATTGAAAAGCTGGATGCACTGAAAAGTTGTTTCATCCTTACATGAAACTTGTCAGCACGACATACCCTTAACTTCGCAAACCACCAAAACTCAGAACCGTCAGATTTTGCAGCCAGCACCTTACTATTTAGCCATTGAGTTGGAGTTCATCCACTTACATTTTTCTACTTTTTTATAATCAAGATATAGTATAACCATCGTCCAGTTTCATCAGTGAGTGCCTGATTGCAATTTCAACTTGTATGACCCCATAAATCATGATTTCTTATTAGAACTTCGAAAAATTCATCTCGAAACATTTTAGAAATGGAAACTGGACAAAAGTTTAAGTTGGAGGTTTATAGATATTAATTATTCTAAAATTTTATATTAGAACGAAGTTGTCCAGTGCTCCAAGCTTTTAGAGGTTTAGCCAAGTAATGTCAGTCCAGGATGAATACAACATTGGAATTAACCATAAACTTGGGTAAACTGGATGCGTAATTGTGTATGGGTACTGGAACGTTTCAAGTAACTCATCAGTTTGAAAACATATCCTGGATTTTTTATTTTATATTTCACTGTTATGCAAAAACACATCCAAAGTTTTCAACTTACCATTTGATTTATACTTTATATCTATAACCAGTAGGTATTAATAGAAGTTCAAGTTGAATACATATATATGATCATATGGATAAGAGAATTTACATAAAAATTAATGCATCTGATATGAAATATATTTGAAGATTATTAACTAATTAACTTCATGTTCTTGGGCGTCTGACGGTGACGTGGAGGAGATCGTGCGACGAAGAAATGAGAGCTTCTGGGCAGTCGTGGAGCCAGGTTCAAAAGATTGCAGAGAACAGAGTGGAATGAAGACGTGCTACTGAAGCTCTATGTTCCATTAGGGACCCAAGGGGAAAAATACTACTAATAATAATAAACTTCATGTTCATTCACTTTTTATCACTGAATAATGTCAATTAGCAAAAACTTGGGAAACAAAGGAATATTGCTGCGGTAATTCATTACCTTTTCAAATTCTTGAACCCTTTACTGTTTCACCCTGTGGACTACGCGTGACATCGTGTGTGTGTGTGTGTGTGTGACTATGGATTCTCACAGTGAACATATCGGTGTTTAGATGTTAAGTTGAAAAATGCTTGGTGTTCAACCACCACTTCAGCTACAACCCAGCTGTATGGTCTACAATGAAGAGGCGAAATTTTGCCCTGCACAAATTACAAACACTTTGATATTAAATGAAGAAGTGGAAAGTTTCTGCCTTATAATCCCCCTGTAGATAATAATATAATATATATGGGCATAACATCTTGTGTTCATCAGTGAGTGCGGGTTACTCCACACCTTTTACATAAGGCAACTTAAATATATGCCTATGAAAACCACACTTTCACTCCTCAATGTTTACTCTATCTGAATTAGGTTTGTTACAACTATTTTATAATTTTTTTCTTTTCCAATCATCACTTAGCTTTTAAAAAAAAATTCAGGATTTAGATATTATAAAGTTTATTTCAGAGAGGATCGTTATCTTATTCCTATAACTTTTAGTAAATAGACTATTGAAAGTTACTGGCGATTGTAACCATGAATAATAAAAAAAGTGGTCACTGATGGTAATAACATTTCAGTTTGCGTGAAAACCTTCTTCCATTCTATTGTAATTCTTATTAGTGACTAGCAGTGGAGTGCGGAATGTGCGTTTCGTTCCATTTTGTCACTCGTCAGATGGATGTACCTGCACTTTTGTGAGTAATGGTGTTCCTACCGAGAATCGAATACAGTACCTTTCGCTTCAGATGTCAGGGTTAGCCACTAGGCCACCGAGGCACCTCATATGAAAAACTATAGTTTACTTTTATATTATAAACTAAACAGCTAACGTCTACATCAAGGTTAGAGGCTGAAAATTCGACTAGATCCTTACAAATGAATTCCTTCGCGAAACTTGTTTGTTTCCAACATAATGATGTATATTACTTGTTTGTGATGCACTGCAGTGTACTAGACTGCCTTATCATAGATTACATGGATAGACAATAACTGGGTGAACAATAACTGGTGTTGCACCATCAGTATTCTGATGCATCTTAGATTCCTGCTCAATGAATCGTCTAACTTTGTAGTCGGTAGCAATGAATAACAACCAATCATCTTAATGATATGAAGAGTGATGTTTCTGACTGTCTAACATAGTCTGACATAGAAGCACTGTTTTGTTCAACGAAGTGTTTAGTAATCATCATATAGACCAATCTAGCTACAAAATAAATTAAACATGCAGTGAATACATCAGTCTAAGATGTTTGAAGATGTGAAGGTGAACTGAGTTGCTGAATTTATTAACTTCATTTCAAGTGAACAAGAAATGGATCATTTAGTTATCTGATCACTCAGTGATAAACTACAACATCTGTTCTTTACTATCTTGAAGCTTAAAGTAGTTTAAAAATAAGAACATGTTTTGTATGAGTTAGAGATAATGTAAATTTCTCTTGAATGTTATTTTATACTGTTACCTAATTTACCGTAAAACTTGTTGAGATAATAAAAGTTAACACAATCAGGATATAACTCACGTTTTCCCTTGAATTTATCTAAAAAATAAAATGTGATTTGTCTGTCTACTTTTAATTGGAACAATAATGGTAATAACTCATTGTCTTTTTATGGAAATGATCCACTTTTCAATTCTTTTCAACATGATATCAATGGTCAGCATACTACATTTACTTTGGCCACCATATTTATCAAGGAAATAAACGATGAAGTGGATGAGAATATCATGAACGATGTGTTGTTAACTAAATGAAGCAAAATTGATGTTTCAGTTTATCGTAGATTTTATAATGGGTCGACGATAATCAAAGAAGCATGGAAAACTTGACAACAGATTCCTCCTGTCCTTTGATTTATATCCATACATAAACCAGATATCCCCTTAAATACAAAGTCTACCCATATTCGTTTATGGGAGAAAGACAAAACGATGGAGAAAATTATCTATAGGCAATTTCCTTTATTCTACGATAGTGTTTATCATGGAATGAGAACCACTGAGTACCTATAGCAGTAGTGGGCTGTTTTTGTCGTAGTATAGGATTTCTCTAGAGTACGCACCCACGAACTCCCCAAGGTTCGAAATCATGTCATTCAAGTTTCAGCGTGAACGCACCAACAACTCAGCCACTGGGTCTAACTTAAATGGTCCACAGTTTGTTAACTCGCTAACTAGTGGTCTAATTCGATAATCAATACAATGCTTCTGCAGCCTATTTGATGGATACTGTCTTGAAATAGACAAAACCCCTGTGAACTCAAAACTAAATTACTGTTTATTGAGCGTTACTTACATGCTTCTAGTTCGATACACCAAAGTTCAAATGAAAAGCCAGGGTCTGTGAGGTGAGGCAGATGACAACTGAAGACTTTGAATGATAGTTGCACTACATCGCGAACTGACAGTATCAAGAAACTGTGGACCACTTGACCCAGTGGCTGAATAGTTAACGCATTCGCCACGAAATCTGTAATTCCTGATTTCGATTCTTGACGGGGTTTTGTTTACCTATCATATTGATGTCCTATATTTTGACGAAACAACTGTTCGGTGTCCTTAGGCTTTCGCTGAGTTTCCAGGTGGTATCAGTTCATAGTGAATACTACCTCAAAATAAATTTCATTTACAAAAACCTCACAATCACACTGATAAGTAATGGGAGCAAATTTTATTGTATTACCATGGAATATGATCACGTGATTACTGTAGTGTTTCAGAAACTGTTTCGGTTAACATGAGTACCCTAATTCTTACAGAAACCATCCTCATAGAAATAATTTCTACCCGAATTCACTAGCATCTAAGCGTCACACAAAAAAACATACTGATGCAATGTCCTCCAGGTCACGGGAACTCGAATGAAACATATGATAAAGAAACCCCTGAATAAAATACACAACCCATCTTAGGAATATGTTTCCACAAGCATTAATAGAATTTGTACTGACTCGAGTTCAAGAAACGAAAAAGCATAAAGTCAAATGAAAGTTATTGATTATTTTCTCAGAAACCGGAAAATTATGCCATCGATTACTTAGGTGTACACTTGCCTCTTTTTTAAAATTCATTCTCTGTCATCTGGCTAAAATTTCTCGCAATTTTCGTGAAAATTAGTGAACACAGAATAAAAGTTGCCTTTTATAACCTGATCAGAAAGACATCTATCTTCACGGCGAATTCGAACAAAGTTCTTGAACAATTTAAAGTCACTAAGGACTCAAATACATGTAATCTAGTCCTTGAAATCACCTTTCAAAAAGATTGTAAATAGAAGCTCAAACAACTGTACGAGAATGAAGTCATAATCTTGGTTCAGCCAGACAAAGTTTTATGAATCTAGCTGCTAAATTTACTGGTCTTTATTGATAGATTGTCAAATCCATTATCCAATGAGGCAAAGTTGTAGAAAACACTCAGCCATAGATACATCAGTGAACTAACAGAAATCTTACAAATAAAAATTTTAAGGTAAACGAAGAAGGAATCAATTATTAATATGGACTATTATAAGATATTTAGACTATGCACTTAACTCATTCTCATGTTATATGAATTGCTGAAACTGTGAAAGAGAGAAATTCCTTGTCTATCTGTAATGAACATGACAAATTCTGTATATCATCTGATTAATGAATGACAGTTAAATACTCTTGAACTAGTTCGGAGTCAAGTGGTGAAATACACGCTCAATGATACCATTGATTTCATGAAATTGGTAAAAAATGTTTATATGTTTAAGAAGCAAGTGCTTTCTTAGGTAAGGCGACCTGCTGTGTATGGGACTACACTAAGTCTGATTGGTTGTTACTACCAGCCAACTACTGCAAAGAACTACTTCTTAGATGTAAACTCAATGTTTGATTCCACCTCAACTAATTTTTCAGTATACAGAAGAATAGGTTGACAATTAGCTTAATTTTTGGTTGTTTGTTAAGAACATGTTATGAGAAAAGTGTCCTTAATCCATAAATCAGCTAACTACACTTCTACAAAAGTTATGTTGATAACATTTTTCTGCCATATATGGTGAACAACCTGATCTGAACAACTTCCACATTATCTTTGATGTTACTCATTCATGAACAAAATTCACACTTGGATGTGAATCGAAGAGGTTATTGTTCCCAATCCCAGGTGTCATACTATCAAGAAGATGGGATAATTCTATTCAGATTTCAGTGTACAGAAAAATAATATAGACTGAATGATTTATCAAGTTCAAAAGTTGTATCTCCCACCTTTGCAAAGTGAACCGTTTATGTTCGATGTATATTTTGAAACGTTGTCCAGGTTATTAAACTAGAGGAGGCATAAGGTGTCAACAGTTTTAATCTTGAACAAATCAGTTTTTATAGACATGATGTCCATCCCATCAGTTCCCTCAAAGAACTCCCACAATACAACTACGTACGACTTCCGTTTTTACTGATTTATTAGATTTATCACACAGTGAAGGAACAGTATTGTTTACTGGATTACATTTCGGACATAATTTATTCTCCATAGTCTTATCAACCAAGATAACTACACAACTTTGAGATATCCTTTATATAATCCTAATTTCCTCACCCCCTTTATGAAATGGGTAGTAAGATTTTCTATCTTTCCGGAACAGGTGCTGAGTCATTCCAGTTACTGCATATGTTGGGTGTTGATTCGATAAACAAAGATTCAATTATCCATCTCTTCCTCCACCCTGTTATGTTAGTTTTAAGGATTTTCACCCTGTCCCATCCTATTGTGTGTTTGTTTGTAATCACAGGCATAGCTGTGGTTGAGCAGTTTTTCTAAATTCCTTACCTCACTAGGATCTACCAATTTTGACTTAACTAGGTTTTTGTGTTCGGATAGCCTAATTAACCCTGGTCAACTACCTTGACCCATGTATTTGACCACACGAGCGTTGCAAGGGTTTTGGTAAACTAAGTTATTCTGCTTAATTGGGTCAATAGGATCTTTTTACCTACAAAGTCTATTTCGAAGTGAGTTTGTAGGTTTAAATGCCACTCTAATCCCAGCCAACCTTATTGAGAATTCTACGTAGTGTTTCTCAGGTGCCTTCTTTGTATGGTAATACTGTAGAGGTTATGAACATCCAGACCATAATATATTCTTACAATACTGTAGTGGTTTTGAATTCTTTGTTCACAGTATTGCTGCTACCATTATTAACATCATTATCAACACTATTATTATTATTATCATTATTGTTTCTGTTACTACCACTATTAATAACTGTATTACTGATATTTTTCTTACAATTCCTAAGGAGCTTATCAATTAATTGGGGAGGGTAATTGCTGATGATTAGGACGTCTTTAATGTATCAGGTTTCTTGTTTTGGATCTTTAGTTTAACCAGCAAGTTTTTTGGCCTTATTACCTGACACTTTACTAAGCCAACTTTAACTGACGTACGGTGAGACGATTCGAAGTCTAAGTAACGGTTTGAATGTGAAGGTTTTCTGTAGACACTGCTGTCCTTAGGAATTGTAAGAAAAATATCAGTAATACAGTTATTAATAGTGGTAGTAACAGAAACAATAATGATAATAATAATAATAGTGTTGATAATGATGTTAATAATGGTAGCAGCAATACTGTGAACAAAGAATTCAAAACCACTACAGTATTGTAAGAATATATTATGGTCTGGATGTTCATAACCTCTACAGTATTACCATACAAAGAAGGCACCTGAGAAACACTACGTAGAATTCTCAATAAGGCTGGCTGGGATTAGAGTGGCATTTAAACCTACAAACTCACTTCGAAATAAGCTTTGTATGTTAAAATATGCTACTGACCTAATTAAGCAGAATAACTTAGTTTATTAAATCTCTTGCAACGCTCGTGTGGTCAAATACATGGTCAAGGTAGTTGACCAGGGTTAATTAGGCACAAGTTTTCGCTTATATTAATACGTACAACCTCAACTAAATCATTTACACAAAACCAAGTCATTGGTACCTCACAATCTTTAAGTTGATTTTGTGTTCAAAACCCTCACATGTATTCATTGGACATACTGTGGTAAGAGTAGCGATTTCCCTTTGTCTTGAAGAACAATTTCTTATTCTACTACCTCATTAACAGAATAATCTTGCGAATATATTGATAATTAATAAACCCTTATATATTTCCAACCTAAATAAATACAATTGCACAGTTTTAGTAAATGAATTCTTCGTAAAGATGATTTTCTTCGTTGTTGCATCTTTTTACAATACCTAACTCTAATAAGGACCAAATTCATTTTGTTTTGTACACCAGAGTAGATATGACTAGTCCTATGCTCTCTAAACGAAAAGGTGTTTTAGTACATCAAGGCAGTATGTTATCTCTGGATAGAATTTGAGTTTCTGTTTACTTATTAGTAAAGCTTTAACTTAAAGTGTTCTTAAAAAGCAGTTAACATAAATCATCTCTAAAGAAATTATTGTTAGACGTTATTCGAGCAAAATACTACTGATATTTGTTTACTACTTAATACGTTGACTTCAGGTTTCCTGAGTATAATCTTTTTACTATGCCTCGATAGATCAGAAAAAAGGGTTACAAATACCGTATTCCTTGAAGAGGTCAATAAATACTTGAATGCTGCAAGCTGAAAGCTGTAATCAGCTGATATAAACATGAAAGACTGTTTAATTCAAAAGTAATAAACACACTCACATTTATGCTTGTCACTTGCTGAAGTGGAAAATGAACAAAATTATTAATTTTTAGTTGGTGTCAGGTAGTCAGCAAAAAGAAAAATCCTTACTGAAGCTACTATTTCTTCCAACAACATGATAGCGCTTTCCTAAAGGCTCTAAAGTTTGGTAGTGGTTAAGAAAGTATCAAGCTGAATACGGTCCACTTATTCATTCATTTCCTCAGCTGCACTCATAGGTATGAGTGGTGAATACTTTACTGAAAAAGACTAAGCTACTGAATTGAAAGCACATGTTTATTTTCAAAGATATATGATGAGATTACCTTAAATTACAACGGTGGTCTCCACAGATGCTACAGCTTGTGCTTATTAGTAAGAATGTGTTCCTTGGAGGTAGATACATCAAGCTGACAAGTTTGAAAGGGGACTCCACGTGTGTCTAGGATTTCACACCTAGCCACTATCCACCGTTAGTTTGGTAGTTTCTACATTCTAAATGATTTCAAAAATAACACCAACTGTTTGCATCTAGTTGGCACAAACTGGAGTTTTAGGTTTCAGTGAATTCAGCTAGCCATTCAGATGTAGTTTACTATGAAGTACTAATTTCTCGTGGAAAGAAGCTATGTATGGCTTATTTTTCGTGTTGATTACCCTTCATCTTAACAAGGTTAATTGGTGACCTTGTACTAACTAGGAGATCGTGACTGCGTTACTAAACAGAAAACTCACTAACTTTATCCATAAAACAACTTAATTACTTAATATCTACCTGTATAACGACATGACAAACAAATTTCTCCCAAATTATGTAGAACTCACATGCTAAATCAATGACCAATGTAACTATTAGGAAGATTGTAATGTATAGTAAACACTTAGAAAACATTATAAAGTATATCCGCTTAAAGTTTGCTCATTCATTCTTCAATACTTATATGAATAAAAAAGTTGATTTCACCTTGAACATGTTTGTGACAAACCATTGTAGTTTATTTGTATAAGGCAGACGAAGATACCATCTACTGGCAGTTTATTAAATATATTTAAAAAGAAGATGAATATGTTTCATGATACTAATTGTGACAGATATAAATAAAAACTGTTGAATATATTGAATCTCCAACTGTTCAGTGATTCCTTCAAATGAACAGATAAATAAAAATGAATACGTCTTCAGCTGACATTGTGAAACTTCTTTGTGTAATATCTAAGTGTACATAAAAGAATATGGAAATGAAACTGTGATAAACAGAAGTTGAGAGTATTCAAGCAAGTCACTACTTGTCTATGTTGTAAATTACTATTGTTATCTTGACTTACAAGTGAGTTGCTGTATATTTACAGGCTGTTTTGGCAATCACTTTAACAATTTTTTAGTATCCATGTTTTACTTAAACTCCATAAGAATTACTCATCAGATAGTTATCGACATGACAATTGAGTGTGTAGTACTGTCCAAAAAGCCAGCAGATCAAGTTTGCATTCTCCTGGTTAAACCAATTCTCGGGAAATTAAGATGAAGGTTGTTTTGATATCTCATAAGAATAGTCAGTTGATAGTATATTGTGAGACTATTTTGTGAAGTTTTGAGTGAAATCACATTCCATTCACCAAATAAACCTCCAGTTACTTGCTCAAAACGAATTGCACTACAGTGTTATGTCAGTAAGTTTAGTAGTCATTTCATAAGCGCAGTCATCATACTCTGATCAACACTGAAGACTTGACAAACCTATTAGTTACTAAACATTATAAATCGTTTCCCAGATTGCAAAAGAGATGAGAAGGTGTCACACTGAAGTGCTTGGAATTTGCGAAAGCAGGTGGAATGGGAGTGGAGTCTCCAAACTGTCAACTGGAGAATCAATAATCTACTCCGGTCACCCAGACGACAACCACGATCACACTGAGTTATGGAGTGGCTATCATGATGTCTCCAACAGCATCGAAGGCTCTCATGCAGTGGGAACCAATCTCCTCCAGGATCATGACAGCAAGATTCAACTCAAAAGGAAGGAAGGTCACAATCATACAATGCTACGCACCTACAAATAATGCAGAGCAAGAGAAAAAGGAGGAATTCTACAGACAACTGCAATCAACACTGGACAAGACCTCAGTTGGCAACATCAAAATTCTAATGGGTGACATGAATGCCAAACTGGGAGGGGACAACACTGGAAGAGAACTAGCCATGGGTCGAGAGGCGCTAGGTGAAATGAATGAGAATGGAGAATTGTTTGCAGAATTCTGCGCATTCAACGATTTGGTGATTGGAGTCAGGCAGTGTGTTCAAGCACAAGGATATCCACAAAGCGACATGGATTTCACCAGACACCAGGACACACTAAAAATCAAATCGACTTTATCTCAATCTCAAGAAAATGGAGACGCAGTCAGCCTACTTGACACAAGGTCAAGAAGAGGAGCAGATGTAGGTTCAGACCACTATCTAGTTCAAGGAACCTACCTACCAAATCAAGTTGAAAGCCTTCAAGGAAGTTGGTGATAGACCACAGTTCAAGTACAACAATCGGAAACTGAATGACGAAACTACAAAGGAGATCTTCACGTCAGTCAGCCATCAAGACAAAATGGGAGATATCGAGGAACATCTCTGAAGAAACCTGTGTGCAAGAACACTGGAAGTCTTTGAAAGAGATGTGTAAAGAAACCTGCACAGCCGTATTAGGAAGGAAGAAGAAAGAAGATAAGGAATGGATCTCGACGGATACCTGGAAGCTGATAGAGAGGGGAGAGGAGGATGGTGAAGCAGAAGATAAACCAGTGCAAGGACGCACAAGAAAAAGAGAAACTGAGCACAATGTATAAAACACTGGACAAAGAAGTGAAGAAGAGTGCACGGAAAGACAAAAGACACTTGCAGACACATTGGCAAGTGAAGCAGAACAGGCTGCCGGCTGGTGAGAGAGACCTGACAACATTGTATCAAATAAGCAGGTTGCTATCTAGGAAGAGATCAACGCAGACGAAGCCAATAAAAGATGATGACAGAAATCTAATTACGAAAGAAGAGAAACAAAGGAAACAGTGGACCGACCACTTCAAGAAGCTCTTGAATCGACCATCACCTGTACTTCGTCCAGAAATACCACCTGCAGCCTAGCCGCTGAACTACAAGCGAACATAAATCCTCCAAACAAAAATGGAAGTCCTGAACGCCATAAAGCTACTGAAATGTGGGAAAGCAGCAGGACCAGATGGGATACCGCCAGAAGCACTGAGAACAGACACAGAGACAACAGCAGACATGCTCACACCACTATTGCAGAAGGTGTGGAAGGAAGAGGAGGTACCTGACGATTGGAAGAAGGGTTACCTTGTCAAACTGCGGAAGAAGGGAGACCTCAGTGTTTGCAAGAACTGGAGCGGAATCACTCTCCTGTCCACCCCAAGCAAAATATTAAGTTGCATCATCCTGGAGAGGCTTAAAGATGCACTGGATTGAAGACTACGACCGGAACAGGCAGGCTTCAGGAAGTACAAATCATGTGCAGACCAAATTGCAACCCTTCGCATCATCATAGAACAGAGCATAGAATGGCAATCAGCTCTCTACCTCAACTTCATCGACTTTGAGAAGGCCTTTGACAGCGTCGACCGAGAAGTAATTTGGAAACTGCTTCATTACTACGGAATACCGCAAACCTTTATCCGCCTCATTCAACAACTATATGAAGACGCCACATGCCAAGTAATTCACAATGGGAAGCTCAGTGATGCCTTTGAAGTGAAGACAGGAGTGAAACAAGGTTGCCTACTATCCCCCATGATATTCCTGATTGTGGTGAACTGGACTGGATCATGCAGCAGACAACAGTGAGGAGCGAGAAGAGGGAGATACGCTGGCTGGACTGCGGAAAAGAACCTAGAAGACTTGGATTTCGCCAGTGATGACTTGTGTCTGATGTCACATAAACTTGAAGATCTGCAGGCAAAACTAACAAGTTGATAGAAGAGGCAGCGAAGACGGGACTTCAAGTGAATATAGAGAGGACAGAGTTAGAGGTGATGAAGATACCGCATGAACAACTCCAACAACAACAACAAACTCCAATCACCGTCAACGGGAGAAACTTAAAGGAAGTAACCTCCTTCACCTATCTAGGCAGCACTGTCTCAACTACAGGCGGGACAGACGAAGATGTCAAAGTCAGAATCGGAAAAGCAAGACAGGTGTTCATTAGCCTGAAACCAGTGTGGAGATCTTCTGCACTCAGCATGCGGAACAAGATACGGATTTTCAACACCAATACAGTCAAATCAGTGCTTCTGTATGGTTGAGAGACTTGGCGCGTCATGAAAGGGATTTCCAATAAACTACAGACATTCATCAACAACTGCTTACGCTCGTTACTGAAGATCAGATGGATTGCCAGAAAGAATAAGCAACAAGGAGCTCTGGGAAAGAACTAACCAAGCACGTAACACGCAACAAATATGCAGGAAGAAGTGGAGATGGATTGGGCAAACACTGAGAAGGCCGACTGGGGACATCACGTGTCAGGCCCTTGAGTGGAGTACCCAAGGGAAGCGACGAGGTGGACTTCCGAGGGTGACATGGAAGAGATCGTGTGAGGAGGAAATGAGAACTTGTCGGCTGTCGTGGAACCAGGTTCAAAAGATCTCAGAGAACAGAGGTCACTGGAGACGTGCTACTGAAGCCCTATGCTCCACTAGGAACCCAAGGGACTAATAATAATAATAATAATAAATGGTTTCAAAGTAAATAATTTTGTTTGCTCTTATGATGATGAGTAGACATCACTTTGCGGTTTGATTACTTCACTTTCTAAAAAAATAATGACTGTGAAATTTCACATTCTTGTTGCACTTGGTTTCATTACTTTTTGATATGATATGATATATTTTGTTGTTGTTGTTGTTGTAATATATCATGCTGAGAATTCCAAATGGCTTTTAATAAAATGAATATTATTGTTATTATTATCATTATTATTAACTACATGTTGATGGTGATTAAGAGTAGGCATTCAGTTTACATACAAGGTTGCCAGTTAAATATCTGTACTTATGTACAATTATGCATGGCGTAGGAATATACGAACGTACACTTTTATTATGCCAGTTTGAACTTGATGGACTGAATTTGGCAAGTCACCACAAAAATTATCTTTAGAAGCTAATCAGCATAAGCTTAGTCTGCAGGTTATGATAGCTTTGTTTCACTTACTACTTTGATGCAAAAGTACTGGTTATGTCAGGTGAGAGTATATTCCATGGTGAACATATGATAAAGAGAACACATTAAGATTAATGCCCATCATAACTTTTAGCTACGATTTTTAAAATTAGTTTAGACCAACCTTGATAAGTGAATTCAAATAAAGAATAGTTTATAAATTTCAATAGGTATAAGTGTTGCTTATTCGGAATAAAAGTACCGAATTAAGAAAGTGATTAGGATAGTAAAGGAATTGATTAGATAGATCATGCTTGTCATCGAATCTGAAAAGGCCTTCCATAGCGTCAACCGAGAAGTAATTCGGCAGCTGCTTCAACACTACGGTTATAGTGCCACAAACCTTTATCAATCTCATTCAACAGCCATATACTATATGATGCTACATGCCAAGTGATTCACAATGGAAAGCTCAGTGATGCTTTCGATGTGAAGACAGGAAGGAGTAAGACAAGGTTGCCATCAACTATCACCGATGTTCTTCCTGATTGTGTGGGACTGGACTGGATCATGCAGGAAACTGTGAGGAGTGAGAAGATGAGCATACGTTAGCTGGACCAATGAAAAGACCCTAGGAGATTTGGATTTTCGCCGATAATGATTTATGTTTATTGTCTCGAAAGCTCAAAGATCTGCAGGCGAAAACCAACAAGTTAGCAGAAGAGGTGGGGCAGCGAAGACGGGAGTTCAGGTGAAGATACCCAACCAACAACAAGCACCAATCACTGTCAACGGGAGAAATCTGAAAGAAGTTATCTC